ATGGAGGTGTGCTAATTACTACATCGAAACCCTTGCAAAATGTTGCAGATTTTGCCCCCATTACTATCGTTGCAGAACCAACCCTTGCAGCTGACCTCTGGACTAAGCCCTAAATGTCTGTTCTGAGATGGAAGACAGTGATGAAGGTCACAAGATCACAATATCGATCTGGATGAAGAAAGCCCTTCAGCCCATTTGATCTCATCCTTCTAGAACACCCACCCAACTATCCTCCCATCACAGCGTCAAGCTGATTTTTTAAATGAATGTAGTGTCCTTGCCTGAATCAGCTTTCCTGGCAACCTGTTCTAGGATTTAACAATGATAATAATCCTTGCACTTGATATAGCGCCTTATCACGTCTTCGAGACTTCTCAAAGTACTCCTACTGTAAAATGGAGTGGCTGTGTATTTTGTGGGCAAAATATACAGTCGAAATATACAGTCAAATCACGGCAGCCAATTGCACTCAGCAGTGTCCCAAAAACAATTATGGATTGAGTGACCAAATTATTACTATTTTTTTTAAAAAAGGATTATTACCCCTGGAAAAGCGATCCGCTAGGTCCTGCTAGGTAAATAGGAAACTTGAGAGTAAGGAAACTCACCTGAGGTTTTGCCTTGACTTGGTAAAGAAAAACTTCCTGATGTCTGTCCTGGAATTGTCCTTTATAACTCCAAACCTGGGTCCTCGAAAGCAGAGGATAGTGAAGTCAGGGAATCCACCACTGTCTTGTCACCTTATCATCTCCGCTGTCCTCTTCATTATCAGGTTCAACACTGAATGTATCGCCCATGAAACACAGTAACCATACTGAGAAGCCCATTGAGATATGAAAGATACTATACCAAATGCAAGGATTATTATTATTATCTTCCACCTCACCTTCCATTTTCCAAAATGCCCATCAGCACTTCAGCGAAGCACTCAGGCAATAGTCATAGATGAGGAAATAAAAACATCTGTTAAGATATAATATGTAGCTTTACAAATGAATGAATTGGCACTTTGGGGACTATCTCTGGCAGTTTTGTAACCAAGATTGTGTAAGACTTAGAAAGATTTTATCAGATTCTGGCAGATCTTTCATCCCATTTCCCCACCGTTTATTTGTATCCCTTAATATCCTTACTTTTCACATATCTGTTCTCTGGCTCCTGCCTGGTTATAATACTCATAATATTAGTCCTTGCCTTATCACATTGAAATGTCTCACAGGATTTATGATAAAGTGCAGTGACTGTGTATTTGTAAGCGAACACAGCCGCCAATTTGCACACAGCGGCGTACCACAAAACAGCCATGAAGTGAACGACTAATTTTATTTGAAGGATTGTGGCATCCTTTCAAGGTTACTTATGGATTTATGGCAGTCCTCGCCATGCAGTGTCCAGGAGATCCTATTCCTTTTGGACAGCAATGCCTTTCAACATGCAATATAACATCACAGGGTTTTTTTTTTTGACCCTGGGACAACTACCTTTCCTTTTAGATAAATTCTTCCACAATGTGTAGCTCACCAATATCTGCTGTCCTGGTGACTTTACTTGCGGCTGTCATTTTTGCAGTCTTTTCCTTAACAAGCGTGTGTTCACATCACAGGGGTCAAGTGGCTGTTTTCCAATTGTTAATGGATACATTTGCATAATTTGAACCGACTTTCTATTGGATGCTTTGACTCGCTGCTATAGTAAATTTAAATGCGGTTGATTGGAAAGTGGCATATTTTTGGCTTGGAGGCAAATGAGCTAATTTACTGAAGTGCCTTAATGCTTGATGAGCTGAAAATATACCTGATAATCACTGTACCAGACCACGTAAGAATACAACCATTATGAGGTCTTTGTCATGGTAATCTTGAACGGGATTCATTAATAATAATAAATAATGACCCTTACATTTGATATAAGTGCCTATCTCACCCAGAGGGCAATTCAAAGTGTTTCACAAGGTACACTGTAAAGTGTGGTGGATGTATTTTATAGACCAACGCTGTAGCCAATTTGCGTATAACTATGTTTGTTGCGTATAACAAACAGTCCTGATGTAAATGACCAAATTTATTTTGGGGAGGGGGTGCAGCATACTAGGAGAAACTCCCTTCTCACTTTCAAAAGCATTACAGGATTTTTAATGTCAACTTGAACAGGGCACACAGGACCTTGGTTTAAGTTTTTACCTGAAGTATAGCGCCTCCTTTACAACATCAATCAGGCTGCACTTTGAGCTTGAACCCACAACCTTCTGACTGGCTTTGCCACCAATTGAATCACACTGTAGCTCCACAGTCTGACACTTCATTTTGCTTTGCAATAATAATAATAATAATAATAATCCTTGCATTTGATATAGCGCTTTTCACGTCGGGAGGACGTCCCAAAGCGCTTCACAGAATATACTGTAAAGTGAATTGACTGTATATTTGTGGGCGAACGCGGCAGCTAATTGTGCACAGCAATGTCCCACAAACAGTCGTGGATTGAAAATGACCAATTTATTATTGTTTTTGGTTTTGGAGGGATTATTATTAGGCTCTGTGTGGAGTAAGGAAACTTGCCCAAGGTCTCGCCCTGCCTGGAAATGAACTCAGGTCTCTCACTTGCAAAGCGAGTGCTCTAACCACTGAGCTACAGGACTCCACAAATGATAATGATGTTGGAAAACAAATCCAAAAACCGTGAGCATTTTGAAAATTATTTTTATTAATCCATGCAGAGTTATAAGAATTTGTACATAACCAGGCAGGTAATGTTTTCCTTGCGAGATAAATCGAAGATAAATTGCTTTGGCCCCATCTGAAATGACCATGGTTATGACTTTTTCTGAATGTGCTCATTGAAACAGAAGATGGTAAATTATGGGGTGTGGAACGCCCCAACTTGTAGATTACTTACAGCAATAACAACAACTTGCATTTATAAAGTACACTTCGCATAGGATAATGTCTTGGAGCGCTGCAAATAAAATGTCTTTGGTGTTCTACAGTGCTTCCCTCTCCTGCTTGGAGTCTTTTTTCATTTCCAGGGAAGGACTTTGAACCGGAAGCTCAAGACTTCTGTTAAATAATAATAATCCTTGCGGTTGATATGAAGTCTTATCGCGTCGTTGAGAGGTCTCAGTGCGCTTTACAGGATATAATGTAAAGTGGACTGTATTTTGTGGGCAAAACACATTAAGTATTTAATTATTGTTTTAACACAACTTCACTTTTTGACAAAATAGTATATTTAGTTATTTATTTTAAAAAATATTTGCAGCAACAATGATTGAAAGGATGCCTTACTCTGAGAGCCAGTGTAGACTTGGTGGGCTGAATGGTCTCCTTCTGTGCTGTAAATTTCTATGATTCTAACCAATAGGGGAGAGTACTAATTATAATATTATTCTATGATAATGTTGATAAGTATAATATGCATGCAATATAGGAATACATTAGAACATTTGCTCCTCTTGCTTTATGTATAGTTCTGGTGTTTCGATTTGAGAGTAAACTTTACACAAATTGCATTTATATAACACTTTTCACGTCGGGAGGACGTTCCAAGTCGCTAGACAGTCAAGGATTTGCACCCGAGCTGGGGGTTGGATTCGGGAGGGGTGGGGACCAAGGCTGTTGGGGTCGGAAGATGACCAAAGTATCAGTTAAAGAGGAAGGTCTTGAGACAGACCTTAAAGGAGGCGAGGAAAGGGAGGAGGCGAAGGGACCCTGGGATGGAGTTCCAGAGAGTAGGGCAACAAGGGTGAAGGTCGTTTCAAGTGGTTCAATGGGTTAACACATTTTCATATTTTGTGATTGCCTGCCAAGTTTTTCTGAAGACTGAAATTCCAATAAAGATGAATTGTTTGCCTTAGATTATGTCAGGAGAGGCAATTTGCTAAACATGTTCAATTGTGACAGTGAGGAACTAAACACTTGCTTCATTTTGAGCTTCTGGTTGTTACCCACTTTTGAAACAAGCCAAGCGAGGAAGAAATAAAATTTCACAATTTACATGAATATAGCATCTTTCTCGTCGGGCGGTAGACTTTGAAAACAGTGAATATTACGGAACATTGTGGGATCCAACACATGCCTATCACTAAAAATCACAATCCTATTTCTGCTCAGTCTTTAATAATAACATAACAATCCTTGATTTAAAATAGCCTCGAACCACCTCAAAGCACTTCATGGGAAATTTCTGTAAAGACTGTATATTTGTAAGGAAATCCAGCAGCCAATTTGCACACAGCAATGTTGCATAAATAGACATGAAATGAATGATCAATTTTATCTGGAGGATTGTTAGCCAGGACTTGTGTTTTTGAATAGTGTTATGGGATATTTTAAAGTCCACCTGAACAGGAGTCTGGGCTTAATGAGACCTTTGTGACAGGACGTTCCTTTAAAAAGACTTTGAGCGAAATATTTTTTTTTAGCAACGACAGCACATTAGACCCCCTACATTCACCGTTCACTAATTCTGGCATTTCACTCCACACTTTGCAGAGGAACAAGTCAGCGAGAAGATCATGTTTTAAACATGTGGAACACAATCTTATTTACAACACCCTCCGAAGAATGTGAAACATTCGAACCTTCCCTTTTTAACCTGAGTTCAATTCCAGGCAGGGCAAAACTTTGGGCAAGTTTCCTTACTCCACACGCCTAATAATAATCCCTCCAAAACCAAAAACAATAATAAATTGGTCATTTCAATCTGCGACTGTTTGTGGGACATTGCTGTGCGCAATTGGCTGCCCGCGTTCGCCCACAAATAATACAGTCAATTCACTTTACAGTGTGTTCTGTGAAGCGCTTTGGGACGTCCTCCCGACTTGAAAAGCGCTATATCAAATGCAAGGATTATTATTATTATTATTAATGGAAGTGATCATAAGTGGTCAGTAATTGATGGACCATCTGGAAATTGGCTACAAATGAATACAAAGAACGACCCACGTGTTTTCCAGGCAACTTGGCCGATCACCCTTCTTAAACAGAGAGAACTTTGTCTTTCTACACCCTCCCCAGCATGCGTGCCACCCACCAATTGCACGGCATGACAACCACGCAAATGACACGGCAGCCTCGATAATAATAAGGATATGGCATATAGCCACCCAGAGGTTCACATATACGCCGGCAGTGTGTGTGTCCATGGTGACAGTCGGCACAACAGAAACCCTGCTCGTCCAGCCTGCGATCGACGTAGATTTCGTTCTCTGTCTGCAAAGATACAGAAGCACATTAAATCCTCTCGAGTCAAGGCGTTCATTTATTTTCTTTTTGCTTTGCTTAAGACCTTCAATATACAGAGCAGGGCAGTAGTGTGAATATTATTGGGCAGTACACAGATCTTTTATGACAGTCAGTGGATTTATCTACGCGAGATACTTGTTACAGTGAAACTAGGTAATGTGCGGCGAGAGAAGCATCTCGAAGGGGTAAATCTCATCTAATCATCTTCATTTTTCCTTCAATTTCCCTTGTCCACACAAGCAATAACAGAATACAAGCCAATCTAATTTATATCCGATGTGACAGCCCAGTGTCCTTTATCTATTTTGGAAATGATAGAAAATAACATTATCTGCTGCAAGAATTCATCCATTGCTTCCTACCGGCAATTTAAAAAAAAACTTAAATTTTATTTTCGCTAATCTTTTTATTGATGCGCTTCAAAAGCCAAAATAAGCCACGGTTGCTGATCGGTTTTGTCGGAACTTGGAAGTTAGAGGAAAAAAATAAAAACTTTGTACATAAACAGTCCCAGAGTTTGATGAGCTACTTCTGCCCCACAGTGAAAATATAATACTTATCAGCTTACATCAGAAAGGCTGTCAGAACAAGCAGCTCTGTTTAGAGCATAGACCTGTGGCTGTGCTTCGCTATGAGTAGGAAACAAAAGGACTTCTGCCCCTTCGTTAACTGTAGTTCATTGTTCGGGTTATGAAATCGTTGTAATAACAACAACTATCCTTGCATTTTCTCCATGTCTCCCGCCCGACCTGCCCTACCATCGATGGCCGGGCTTTCAGCCTCTCTACCCACACACTCTGGAACTTCATCTCACGGTCCCTTCGCCTCGCTTCCTCCCTTGCAAGACTGGTCTCAAGACCTTTCACTTTGATCGTGCCTTTGGTCTCCCTCCCACATCTCTGCCTTCCTTCACCCCTACACCACCCCTCCCACATACTACTCGGGCCCCGACATCTGACTGTTCAGCGCTTTGGGACGTGAAAGGCGCTCTATAAATATAATTTTGTTGTTGTTATTGTTAATGCAGCGCCTTATCATGTTGTCAAAATATCTCAAAGAGCTTCACAGGATTTTACTGTAAAGTGCAGTGACTGAGTATTTGGAGGCAAACGCGGCAGCCAATTTGACAAAGCAATGTCCTGCAAACGGTTATGAAGTGAATGAATAATATTATCCGGGGGACTGTTGGCCAGGGCAATGGGAGAAATTCCCTTCTCTGCTATGAAATGAGTATGCATGTGCACCTAATTTTTATTGCAAACAAACATTTTTTTAAAAAGAAAGTCCCTAATTAGTCAGGTTGGAGGCATTTATTAGGTCTTGAAATTGATGTAAAGATAGGTCTCTGGTGCAAATGTATTATCAGCAAGTTTACCCAGTTACAACCTATGGATTTCAAGATCTTGCATCCAGCCCATATCGCAAGGATAGGCACGATGCATTTACATTGCACATTTTTCAACAAATTGCCACGAATATAATTTTTTTTAAAAAAATGATACAAATAGTCTAAGGGCTGTTTTTTTTCCAGCACATCAACTAGAGCTCCCTCTAATTGAACTAAGTTTTGAATTGATTCCGTTCCCGTTCCCAAATGACCCCTTGAAAGTCTAGTAACATCCGAAGAAATTTCAAGGGAGTAGTTTTTAAAATCTGATTAAAGAGCTGGCTGCTAGTATTGTAGTGGTTTAATAGCTCCCAATCGATGCAATGCGTATATATCAGGCTTCACACTGCTTCACTGCCGAAACGATATCTTTTTGCTTCCAACATTATGAACACTCATTATATTGAGTAAATTAACTAGTTTTGGATGAATTTTGGCACTAGCGGGGCCAGGAACATAAAAGGCTTTGTGTGAGGAAATAGACTGCGGGTGATCGAGGGGTAAATTGTGTACAACTGGAGCCTCACACTACTGTACCATCAAGTGAGACTGAGGATAGCTCAGAAACACATGTGATTAGAAAGCGGATTAACTGGCCCAACAACCAGGGATGAGAGAAAAAAAAGAATAAAACCGATTAGATAGTGACCTGAAATTCATTTCACACAACCTGATAAGCAATAAAGCCTCCACATAACTGTTCTAGGAGTGAAGGGGGTTTGAATTAACTTGGTTGATGCGTTTCAATATGATTTCAATCATTATGTTAGAGAAAGAAATGAGAGGGGAGGGAAAGTTTTTTTTAAATTATACTTCTTGTGTCAGCCTGGCTCAGTGGTAGCACTCTCGCCTCTGAGTCAGAAGGCTGTATGTTCAAGTCCCACATCGGGACTTAGAATCACATAGTCTAAGCTAACACTCCAATGCAGTACTTGGTATAGGTTGCATTGTTGGAGGTGCCGTCCTTCTTATGAGACTTTAAACTGTGGTCCCGTCTGCCTGTTCAGGTGGAAGTTAAAGATCCCATGGCACTATTTGAAAAGACCAGGTGTTTTCTCCCATTGTCCTGGCAATAAAATTGGTCATTTATTTCATGGCTGTGCGTAATTGGCTGCTGAGTTTCTCCCAAAAAATACGCAGTCAAATTCATTTTACAGTACATCCTGTGAAGCGTTTTGAGACGTTGAAATGTCGTGTTAATGTGCTATATCAAATGAAAGGATTATTATCTGGTATAGGAGGGGGGGGAGGCTATTAAAAAAGTGAAATCCTAGTGGCTGGATCTTAAATCAGATTTTTAACAATCTGACCATTTAAATTGTAAATTCCTATTTGATTCCTGAAGCCCAAAATGACACTGTGACTTTAGTCTTTCAGGCTGCCAAAAATGTTTCATTCTGCAGGTCTTTATGAGCAGCAAAGGGAATGAGAGAAATGCATTACCCACTGATCATTTGTGTCGCTATCGCTTCATTGTAAAACGTATTTTTTAAGTTTTTTGAGTCCTGATTGGCTCCCGTCAGTGCCTCCACACCTCAGACACTGACAGCATCACCACCTATGGATGCACACTCCACCTTACTAAGCCAGTCTGGAACCTTGTTTGACCCTCAACTATCCTTTCTACACCACATCTGTGCCATGACCCGCTCTGCCTTCCCCCACCTCTGCAACATTGCCCGGCTCCACCACTGTCTCACACCGCAGGCCACCGAAACCCTCATACATGCATTCATAACATTAAGGCTCGACTATGCAAACTCCTTGCTTGTCGGCCTCCCCAACTCCTCCCGCCATAGGCTGCAGATCATCCAGAACTCTGCAGCCCGTGTCCTCTCCCACGCCAGGCTCCATGACCCTATCACCCCCATCCTGGCCCGATTACATTGGCTTCCCATCACACAGAGGATACAGTTCAAGATCCTGGTCCTCACTTCCATGGTCTGCTCCTCCCTACCTCTGCGACCTCCTAACCCCCTCCGATCCTGCCTCCCTGGCCCCACCATTGGCGGGCGGGCCTTCAACCACTCTGCCCCCACCCTCTGGAACTCCATCCCGCTGTCCCTCCACCTCGTCCCCTCCCTTGCCGCCTTCAAGACCCATCTCAAAATCCTCCTCTTCAACCATGCTTTCGATCACCCTGCTTCCCCAACCGTTATCCATCCTCCCCGATCCCAACCTGCAGCTCGGGTCCGATGCTCTGACTGTCCAGCACCTTTGACTCCCGACGTGAAAGACGCTATACAAATGTAATTTTGTTGTTATGCTATGTGTACCTCTGTCATTGAACACAGATTTATGATTTTACACGACCTCAACAGATTGTTGCTGTTTTGTTTTAAACAGCTTGTTAGAAAATCAACACTAATTATTTTTTAAGGTGCCACAAGGGACTTACGTAGTCATGAATGTCACGAGCTGGACGCTTCCTGTTCGTTTGGGACTTGAGCTCGGTCGCATGTTCGTTCTCTCCAGCAACTTCTTGCGGATCTCCAAAATCATAGAATTCTGTGTCTGTAAAGAACGTACAACACAGAGTCAAAACCTGAAAGGGCTTCTTTATATCTAGTAGACTCAAAATTATACTTGGCATATGGTTTTCCTATTCAATGGTCTAATTCCTACTGCATGTGTTCCGAGTGTTTAAAATGCCTTTAGCTAGCAACTAAATAGAAATCAATTCAAATGTTGCACGGGGACCAAATGAGGATTGACAGCAGACCATATTGTACATTTCTGGTTTGTTGACCTTAAACCTTTGTGGATAGAAATTTCTGTTCTTTTTTTACAACAAGAACGTGGGAATTTACAGAGCTGGAAAAGACCATTATGCTGATCCCAAACTTTTTCAATTAAACAAATTGGGCTTCACTTCATCTCTCATACGCCTCAATTTGATTTATTTGCCAAACAACTCTCTAATTCCCTGTTGAGTGCCTCCCAGCGTCGTCTAATCCACACGTTCACTGCTCTGTGTGAGGTAGCTCAATCTAACCTGTTCTGTTCTCTTCTGAGTTTGAGTCCGTGTCTTCTTGCTCCAATTAGTAATGTACTAAACATGATTAGGGATGAGGTCACCTATACTCTTAAAGATCTTGAATGCTTCAATAGGATCGCCATATTTCCCTTCTCCAGTGTCAAGACTCCCAGTTTCTGTAGCCTCTCCTTCTTTAGCGTGCTTAGCAATCTACTAATCTGAACAGGGTGTGCTTTCATCATTATGAAAGCATGTTCATGTTAAAATTTGTGTTGCTGTGCAGAAATCTATGGATTTAATCCATTTTTGTTGTTTGACTTATTGACAGTTTCATTTCCAATTAAATTGGATGCACCATGGCTTGAATATCCGACGAATGGATTGAAGGAACAGTGTTTGTGCAGTGAAGGACATCCCACAAATTACTTTTGTGGACAAATGAAATCCATAAGCTGACACTCATTCATTTATGATCAATGCAGCTTTGATGCACATGTTCAGCATATTCGTTCTAAGTTTATGAAAATGATTTGTGGTTTTCAATACCTAATCCTTTGTGTTAAGCCTTAGCAATCAAATTGATTACCTCGATGGTCCTTGGCTCAATATTCATTGAAACTTTTTGTGGAAGTATGTAATTATCAACAGATATATCGTTACTAAGCTCAAGCCTGGTAAACTGCAGTCAAACAAAATGTATTTGTCTTTTGTCATGTCCCAAGTTTCCAGTCTGCCGGATGTGGGGAATATGGGTCAGCTAGGAATATTCTCATTTAGACGTTTCTTCTGCATTTTGATAAACAGAAATGCGACAAAGCTTGCCGCATTATGCTGCAATCTTGTCAATCTTCAAATGTCTTTGCTATGATTGTCTGAATAAATGAGATCTCCAAATCTGCTTGTCATCCCATGAAGAAACCAAATATTTTTGGACTTAATATTTTCGTCAGAAAAAATAAGTTGTTTAAAACAAGCTTAATAAACATGAGAAAGAAATCAGAACATGAGATGAGCAGAATTATTTTATTCCTGATTACAGTTTATGTATTATGTATGTAGTATTTATCGTAAATCAATGAAGCTGCTCCTGATATTGGACTTGTTTTAGGAATAATAATTAATCTTTGTATTTGATATAGTGCCTGTCACTTCACGAGGACATCTCAAAGTGCTTCAACAGGATGTACTGTAAAGGGGGTGACTGCATTTTGTGGGCAAAGGTGGCAATCAATTTGCACACCGAAGTGTCTCACAAACAGCCACAGATTGAGTGACAAATTTTTAATTGGGGGATCGTTGTCCAGGAGACTGGGAAAAAAAAACACCTCTTTCTGAACAGTACCGTGGGATCTTTAACAACCACCTGAATAGAAAGACGAGACCTCAGTTTAACATCTCATCCGAAAGACGCGATCTCCGACCATGCAGAGGTCACCTATACCCTATGCAGACCATAGTAATGTCAGGCTGGATGGTATGAGTTCCGAGACCCAACGTGGGGCTTGCACCACAACCTTCTGACTCAGACGTGAGAGTTCTACCAACTGAGCCAGACTGACACACGTGGTGCAACAACAATAGCAACAACAACTTGGATTTATACAGCACGCCTCACGCAGTGTAGCGTCCCAGAGCGCTTGACAGTGGTGGAGCATGACGCTGAGCCGGTGGGGGAGGTGACCCTAGGCATGCTCGAGGAGGAGGGTCTTCAGGCACAACCTGAAATTGGAGAAGGAAGGGGCAAGACAGAGAGATAGAGGAAGAGTGCAGCAGAATTTTGAGGCATGCAGTGGCTGAACGCGCAGCTGCCAATGGTGGAGGGCATGACTTATAAGGTGAAAACGCACACACCCACGTAGATGGTTAGTCCCTAATCTGTCAGAAATTCATGGTTAATATAACTCTAGTAACCTTGAACTTGGGATGCACAAGAAATTGCTCACAGAGCAGATCACCAAAAGACTTAGTAAGCCAAACTTCAGATAATTAAATGTCTAAAGAAACCTGGCCACTTGTTGGTACAAGGCTGTCATTTAATCTTGGGGTTGAGATCATATATATAAACCTTTTAACCTCTCCCTCTATATATGAATCACACATATATATTTAATAATAATAATCATTACATTTGATATCACGTATTTGAGACTTCTCAAAGAGATTCACAGAATATACTGTATATATATTATATATAGAGAGGGAGGTCAGGACGTTTATATCCTCCAAGCTATATATTTTGTGCATTAAGTAAGTTTGTCTTTCTCTGAAAATGTAATAAAACATTGTCAATAATCTTCAATGTCTCATTATCCCTATTACATAATTAATTAAGAAAAGAACCAGTCATTCAATTTAAAAGTACACACAGATACTAAACCAATTAATATGGAATGAATTATTGATGTGGTAATCAAAGTCTTTCACTCTTATAAGCATCATAGGACTGGACAAGAAAACTTGATCATATTAATTTACGAGCTACAAAACATCCCCTTGTTGTTAACATGAACCCACATGCAACGTGTTTGATACTTGCATTTCTAGTCTTCTTACCTTTCAAATATGATGGACGGAGCCAATATACAGGAAGATTTCCACAAACTTCCAGGACTTTTGAATTCAGCAGAAAATGTTGGTCCTTAATTGGTTGTTCAGCTGCCATCCAAACAAGAGACTCATCAAACTGTGCTGGCATAATTTCATCTTGCTGTTAAAATGAATGGCGTACGTTAACCTTTTTGTCAAGTGCCAAAAAGCAGGAATTCATTATTTTTACTTGGCAGTTTCATCTAAAGTTGAATTCTAGAAAACTTTGAATTTATTAGTAGTACAATAAGAGCAAATGACAAGACTTAATTAAATTCAACTCCGGTTTGAACATATGGTGCTGTATAATTGGTTTTTTCCACACGCACTGATTAGCAGAATTTCATTAGGAAATGTTGTGCACTAACCCATTTTTCATCATTAGGAAATGCAAAAAAGGACTTCAAATGTCACAGTGATTTTAAATGAAGCCTGTCTTTCAGGATAGATTGTTTGCTATCAGTGGCATTGACCAAACCATCTTCTTGGTTTCAAAGGTGTCCAACAGCAGTTTTAAAAATAGACCAAGTTTATTCCCACAGTGCAGTGTTGTTGTACGACTGTACATTTCATCTCTCAGGTTGACAATGTGAGGAGGAGAGAAGAGTATAAAAAGAAGGATGAAAATAGTGTTAGAGGAACTTAAATCACCTGTGCTATTCATTGGCCAAAACTTTTTTTTTAAGATTGCATGCTCATTAATAACTTTTTTTTAAAGTAAAAGTTTACTAAACAAAACCATATTTCTTTTACATTATGGCTCTCAAATATTTCCTGATATACAACAAACTGTAAATTGCAAAGCTGAGTTTGCCCATAATTTTTTATGAATGAATCGACACTGCTCTTAAATATATTGATTACCCCACCATACACAAACAAGCACACACGCATGCGCGCACATAAAATATAGGGATGAAAAACATTAACAACAACAACTTGAATTTATAGAGTGCCCTTCACGTGGGATAGCGACCCAGAGCACTTCAACAGAATTATCAAATCTGTTTAGAGACACAGATCAGGGGCCATAAATAGGAATGGCTCAGTAGGGTAATGTCCTGACGTTAGGTGTGATTAAGGACAAACAACAGACCAGAAAAGAGGCTGAATATTATGTCTAACCAAAATTCAAAGAAATTTGGTATTTAAAACAGCGAAGAAACTACAGCAGCGAAGGAATCCTTTTGGCCCATCAATCTTGTGCTGCTGGCTCCTCTACTGGAGCTATCTACTCCAATTCAAATCATGTGCTATTTTTACGTATCTTCTTATTTTGTTCTGCTTCAGCTCCTTAGCTAATTCCCTATTTAAAGACATCTTCTTTAGGAGGAGGAAAGAGAGATCGCGAGCGAGAGTATTCAGAGCAGACATCGCTGATCTGCTGGTCAGCAGAACTGCTGGTCAAGTCATCTGGACAAATTAGGACTATTCTTTCTATTGTGAGATATTATTGACTCCTACGTCGAGGTCTGAAGTTGGGTGGTGCAAAGCTGTTGTGTTACTATCTCTCCCTGCAAGCACAGACTTGAATTTGGAGGAGTATGCAAGGAACAAATCTTTCCAAAACATCCACCCAGCTGGTATTCAGAACATTGAAGTCAGGCTAAGATAGATGTTGCTTAAATCTGCTCGCTGGTGTTAACTCATATTTTGACTGTAAGCCAGGCTCCAAGGTCTTGATTGACAGAGTCAACAGAGAGTTAGTTTTGAAGTTGCGGTGTGGCCAATTTGGAGAGAAAAGAGTGAGTCCTGTGGGTTATTATACTGTAAATCCATCAGTATGTGAGGATTAGGTATTCATGAGACTTAATCATTGAAAGAGAAGAAGACAGATATCAGCACAGCGACTGAGTTAACGATGGAAGACTGAAGTTCTTACACTCTACTGCTTAAGAAATTAAGTAATGTAGATGTGGTTGCACCCGATTACTAAAGCTGAGATCAAATTTTCCAAAGTTTCCCTTGGGAATCTTTTGAAGACTTCCAATGAAGAGGAATAGTGTGTCTGAAAGGCAAGGGTGACAGGGGTGCTCCTTGGAGTAGCACATTTGGACAAAATGCCCGATTCTGAAGATGTTACGGTTCTTTTGCCAGGGGCAGACCTTACCTGGACCATATCTTATTTTGGGGCATTTAAAAGGGGGCATTTTTAATATTGTGCATTTCTTTTTAATTCTGTTGTAACATTCACTCCCAAAATACACACAGTCATAGCACTTTATAGTACATTCTGTGAGGCTGTTTAGAGACGTCTCAACTACGCGATTAAGCACTATATCAAATACAAGAACTATTATTCTTGTATTTGTTCCAAGCAACTTCTGTTTTTGTTACAAGAACTATTATTATTATTTAACATTTTCAAAATCAGGTGTTTTTTCCCGGGCTTTGGTAGAAAGTGATGAGGAGCCAGCTTCCCTCTCCACACTGCTAACCTGTCACAGGAGTGATTGTTGCTTTACTCCTGGCAGAATGCACACAGCACAAGAAATTACAGGGTGATAAAGAATGAGAGGAAATGGCAAAGGTGGCCAGAACAGATCTGTTTAGTTTCAGTACAATATGTTTGATACAGTTGGCAGGGAAAAAGCCAAGAGTGAAAGGCCTTGACAGCATGGTGAAGATCTTGGGACAAAGTACAGTTTGAGTATCATTATTCTCCACTGGAGAGACCATCAATTCAAGGCACAGTAATGTATTCACTATTCATGGTCAAATGAGTCCCTGGTGATGTTGATGCTGCGTAGTCCAGAGGTTTGCTGAGGTCTCTGAAAAATCAATCTCTAAGAAGTTTGAGATGACTCTATGGAGGCAACAAACTCTGCTTCACAAATTTACTCGAGTATTTTAAGGACGTCTTGGTATTAGAAGTTGAGAGTCTATTCCGGAATCTGATGACTTGGATTTTTGGGAGCAATTTAAAGTGGCTCCTTGAATCTTTTGGCTTTGTGGACGAGATGACGTATAATGCTGATGATCTAAATGATCTAACTAATGGCATATCCTTCCTAATGCTTTTTTACCTCAGTCCTTAAATAGTTAATCATTCATAATAATAATAATCCTTGCATTTGATATAGCGCTTTTCACGTCTTCTCAACGTCTCAAAGCGCTTCACAGAATAGACTGTAAAGTGAATTGACCATATGTTTGTGGGCGAAACGCGGCAGCCAATTGCGCACAGCATAATCCTTGTATTTGATACAGCACATTATCACATTATTGAGAAGTCTCAAAGTGCTTCACAGGCTATACTGTAAAGTATAGTGACTGTGTATTTTGTGGGTGAACACAGCAGCATATTCCACTAGTAAGCTGCAAGTACTTTTCAAGCAGCTGCACTATCTTAGCGGTTTAGAAATAACAGAAGATTTCAATTTCAATGTATGTGTAGGGGAAATTGTCTCCCAAATTAAGACTGAATTACATTTTTTGTGCAATTTAGCTCACTCTTTAAGATACGATAATGATCTTGGTGCTAAGAGAATGGCAAATGCCTTCCTTCTATCATAGCAGATGTTCCTCTTGAATTACCCGAGTCTTTTTGGTTGGGTCCTTCATTGGACATACCTTGCGTAGAATTAATATTTTCTTAATGATGGGCTTATGGCTGGAGAGGCAAGTGGAATGCAAAACACAATCTTTTGTTTCGAAAGGAAACTGGTTAAATCACGAGAGGTTCAGATGAAGAAGGCTCTTTGACTGTCTCCTCATTCCAGAATTGTGACATATCCATCCTCCCACACATCAGTTTAAAACTGGATCATTTTAAAATGAATCCATAACATAACAAAACATAACATAACATAACATAACATGTAGGAGCAGGAGTAGACCATTTGGCCCTTCGAGCCCTCCCCGCCATTCAATCATGCTGATCTTCTAATCTAACTCCAGCTAATAGCCTAACCCTGCCTTATCCCCATATCCCTTAATCCCTTTTGCAATAAGAAATCTATCTATCTCAGTCTTGAATATGTTCAAGTGTCCTGACCTCACCCATCTTACTGGTAACCTGTTCCAGTCATTGGCCTTTGGGCAAAGAAATGCTTCCCAGTACCTGTCCAAAATCTCTGCCTCTTTAACTTCTGCTATATTGTGTACACGTGAGAATGTGCTCCCAGCTCAGAACAATCTTCCACATATCCCCCATCTAATTGTTCAATGATATTTTCACTGAATATTAAACAATCCGAGATAGATGGCTGGGCGGTAACGAGAATCGTTGTCTTCATTGTAAGGTTGGATGGGTAAATGTATTTTCTCTAATCTAAAATGTTCCGTTTGTTCCTTGAAGATTAATAATATTTCTCAGCATATTTGAGCATAAATGATCCAGGTTCTAGGCATCCAGTAGATGTCTTCAGGCCTAATTATTTTAGGTGCCTGTGTTTCCGTTAGTCAGAAGGTCCACATCCTTCGAAATGATATAGACAACATGTATCTTTTATCACTGTGCTCATAAAGGTGAGCTTTGACAGTCCTTTCATATAACAAAGTACTTCTCTTTAAAATTGCTTGGCTTATTGATAATAGTTGACATCCTTGACATTACCTCGACGAGGCAGCATCAACCTGGAACAAGCAGTTAATCCTTCACTGCACAATGTCACATTCATACGCCTAGATTTCAGCCAGAATAGCTGAGTTAACAGAAACTCAATCAATTGTTTGGAGTAAATCTGGGTCGTGTGGGGACCTTGACTAAAACTGGCAGAACTTATATAATTTATGACCCCTCACCGTTTAAGAAACCATTATTTTTGTTTCATGCATTCATGAGCTTCATTTAAGCTTCAGTCCCTGGAGATTAAAGGTACTTAGTAGCTAACAGCCAGTTTGGAATCATACTATAATTAGAGTGGTCATATTAAAATTAGTTTCTATAACTATAAAGTGTACAAAATGGGAATATTTACATTTTTTTTCTCAAATGTATGCAAGAATGGATCCATTTGACAAACTTGCTATTTGATACGAAGAAATATGTGTTCATTTGTTTGATAATACTTCTCCACTGCAAACACAACCCTTTAATAATTCCATTAATAAAAGGTATTTTTTTTACTGGCTCTGGAGATTATTATTACATTTTTCGTTACAATACAAAAGGCCTTTGTTTCCGAAAAGAGAAAAATTACAATTCGGCATTTTTGCAACATTGCAAATATATATAACCTGGGGATGGGGGAAAAGACACAACTCCCTCCTCTTTTGGAATAGTGCCAGTGTTCTTTAATGCCAATCTGAACATGCAAACTGTGTAGTCAGGTGGACCTAAACATCCATCTGAATAGGTTTAACATCTCATCTGAAGGACACAACCTTTGACTATGCAGAACTCCCTTAGCATTGTATTGCAGTGTCAGCCTAGATTATGAGCTCAGAATCCTGACGTAGGGCTTGAACCCATAACCTTGTGACTCAGAGGCGAGAGTGCTACCAATTGAGACAGGCTCATGGTTTAGAAGGAGCAATAAACTGGGGAGAGAAGGAACACTGGTAGCGAGAAAGCATCAGGAGATTATCAAAATGGTCAAAATCGGTGATGCGAAGGGAAATAAACTCACCGAGAATTACTGTAGACAGCAAGGAAAGGAGAAGAAAATCAATATTGAACTACTTGCAAAAATTGTGCAGACAACCAAAAGTGAGGAAGGGAAAGTAGTAATTCATTGCATTCTTTGAAGTTGTAAGAGAATTAATGAATATGGTAATGTGATAGTTGTAATGTATATTAAATTCCAGAAAGTATTTGATAAGATGCGTCGCAAGAGATGAGTGAAAAGCAAAAGCTCTTGGAACAAATGAGGCTTTGTAAATTGATAATGAATTGGCTAAAACAATTGGTTAAAAATTTAATAATGATTAGCGTTGAAAGTTTTACTTGGGAAGTTGTGAGATGCAGAATGGCAGCGAGTTCAAGCCTGGGACTCTGTGTTTCACAACATTTAAAGATATCAAAATAAAGACATATAAAGACATAAAAAATATAATAAGAATCCTTGTATTTGATATAGCGCCTTATGTCTTTGAGACGTCTCAAAGCCTTCACAGAATATATTGTAAGGTGAATTGACTGTATATTTTCTGGGTGAAATGCGGCAGCCATTTGCGCACAGTAGTGTCTCACAAACAGTTGTAGATTGAAGTAACCAAATTATTATTTTATTTGAAGGAATTATTACCCCAGGAATAGCAATCCATCAATTGACTAACAACAGGGTTCCTAATTACTGCTTGGGTAAACAGAGACGTGTGGAGTAAGGAAACTTGCCTAACGTTACGCCCTGCCAGGAATTAAACCCAGATCCTCTTACTTGCGAGGCAAGTGCTTGTCCATGATATTGTTAAAAAAAACGCAATCCAAGTTTATTGATGCTATTACGCTGAATGAAAAGTAAAATGTGTTGAAGAGCTAAATTTCTACAGAAGGCTACAGAAGCTTAGCTAATGGACAAATGTAGTGTAGAAGATTGAAACATGTAAAATAGTGTCCATTAGTAGCTGATAGGGCTTAATGTAAGTAGAGCATATCAGTAGCAAATATGATTAATGAAGGGTACACCATTAGATAAAGTGAATTGAGAAAAACATTTAGGTATATGAGCTGATTAAATATTGAAAGTATAGTTACATTGGATGCCAGGGGCAGTGTAAATAAATGAGTAGAATAAAACTCGAGGAACTGTTAGCCACAATTTGGTCCAATTTGCGAGATTTGCAAAAAGATTTGTAAATGTTAAACCCCGACTGTATGGTGTCCGACCCTCTGAAACTGATCCCCACAGCCCACATTTGCTTTTTAAAAAAAACAGAGGCAGCAGAAAATATTGGGAGGAGAACAACAGAGCTGATTGTGGGTCTTATATCACTAAGCTATTGGGAACACTAAGGAAGCTAAATTCATTCTCATCAAAAGAAGATTGATTGGGACCAGATTCAAGTTTTTTTTAAAATAGGAAATCAATAAGCTGAATGTAGAGAGAAATTTTGTGCAGAAATAGAAAACGTAATTATAAACTGAAGAAGCCATGAGCTGAAGCTATAAAATGAAGTCCTCATTCTGGGGCTGTTTATGTTGCTAGACGTGGAGCAACATTGGCTCAAAAAACAGATTGCAAATGAAGCCACACTGTTATTCCTAATCGCTCTGGCAAGAGAGACCGACCAAATAAACACACGTGAAGAGCTTCTGTACTGTCTCTTGGTTTTTGAATATTATTAAAAAGGCTGACACAAAGCGGTTCTAAGAACCACTGGAATATATTCTAATCCTGGTGGTTGCCAGCAGTAATGGATAAATTGCAAGTTAGGCCAGAAATGAATTTATCACTGTCATTACGGCTGCTGGAGTCTGGCAGGTTCGAAATTCTGCCCTATTGTTTTATTAACCAATGCTTTTGTTCCGTTCTCTCGCAATAGTGTAAGAGTCTGTGAATTGGGCCTGCCTGAATTTCAAAGTATTCAATTGGCCTCTTAAGCACAGTTACCGAAGCATTAAACATCATGCAAAAAATGACATTTCAAAATGGCTTTAACGTATTCCACATGAACACCTCATGGTGAGTGAAGAGCTTTATTCCTTTAAGGAGTGGAACTACATTTCAGCTTTTACTGTGGAACCCCTGCACAGTAACACTCTTTTCATTTCTAACCTTGATCTTTATTACCCGTAGTTATAGAGACCTCAAACAATTCTTCAATCATTTTAAAATGTAACACAAGATTTGATTTGAAAATATGACATTTGCAAACCGGCTTGCTTTTGCTACTTACTCCTTAGGGTTTGCTGATATCGAACTGTGAGATTCACAAAACTGTGCGAATCCCAAGCTGACAATGACTAAAAAACAGTGGATCATATATTGGGAAAGAGGATTAGGAAGGGTGTACAGTGTTATCTATATATAGCGGTATAGACTAACTGGGCCGAACAGCTTGTTTCCATGCTGTAGAGATCTATCATTTCATAATTGGATTGTAATAATTAAAATAAGACTTGCATTTGATATAGCACCTTTCGTGCTGGGCGGAAGTCTCGAAGCACTTCATAGGATTTACTGATTCGCTCACAAAATACACAGTCAAATCACTTTACAGTATATTCTGTGAAGCACTTTGAGACATCTTGAAGACATGATAAGGCACTATATCAAATGCAAGGATCATTATTGCGTAGTGACTATATCTTCAAAGTGAATAATTCTATAAGGACTGTGAGTCATAAAATAGGATGGTTTCCCATTAAGCAAAAGTACTAGACCCTCAGAAACAGGAAGCAGACAGCATTGGAACTGAGGTTGTTAAATACTTCTGGTTACTAGGAGGAATCCCCATTTGACATCTTATTCCCATTACAAATACCCCTCGTTTCATGCAGATGTGTTTTATTATTGCAGGCCTGAAAGGGTTAAGAAACTATTGTACCTGACATGAAATGGATTTGAGGCTGGTAGTTTTTCATACATACCGGGCTAATCAATTCTTCATCATTCTTGATGGCAGCGATATCAGGAAGAATAATTTTGGTTTGGGTTTTGATGTAGCACTTTTCTCCTCCAGCGAACCGTATCCCTGTTAGTCCCTAAAAAAAATATGTAATTTGTTCCTCATACTGTGTAGACGTGACATGTTAGCAAAACGAGAAAAACAACAACTAAAATAGCTGCCACGGCATAATATTTTATTAGTCAAATGTACAGCATTGCATTGGAACTGGCAAAGGTAAAACAGCTTTTCCATCCATTGCCTTTGTTGTTGTTGTTGTTGCCTTCACTCACAGATGATAAGCTTAACAATATTCTTCTCTAGTAGCGATCAATGAATGAAATTACTGGTAAAAGAGGTGGTGCTGGAATCCATTGAAATGTCACCTTTATCATGGTTGTTTAGTAGCAATAGCTAAATAAACCATCTTTTATGCCAGGTCTTTATAATGACATTTCTCAACAGAAAGAGGTAGCCAATTCCGTGCAGGTTTACGCAGATTCTATTTCAGTGCCTTGGGATGGCATCACAAAATGAAAGGCATTATATAACTGCAATTTGTTGTTGTTTTCTGTCCAGTCCAGGCTAACCCTTTTAGTTGTCGTTGGCATATTGTCTGGATCAAACAAACCTGTAATGCGTAAAATATTTGCAATCTTTTTCTTATTTCTGAATTTCATTTGATAGGCCACACAAATCACAACCACCATTTCAGCAGCTGAGCATCATAACTCTGGTGCATAAAGTGTGTGCTGGCATGTTAAGCAAATGTATTTCAACCCTTATGAAAAATCAAAGGGTGCAGATATCTACTTGGAGAAGGCCAGTAATAAAAAGCAACAAGGTCAGACCGTGGATTGTGAACGTCAAGTTTGCTGGTTATTCTGCTCCCATTTGTACAGTGGGGATCTAACTTGCGGTATCTCTAACAGAATTCCCGTCAATGCGCTTAGGAGATGGATAGGACATTCCCACATGTCGATGGGATACACTTCTAGTTATCAGGATTCAACACTTGCACGACTCTGATTTCGCATTAAAAAATCCTTTGCAATGTTTTGCTATGTTTGCCTTTTAAACATTTTTGGGTTGAAGCCTATTTGCACAGAAAGTGGAACAGTGGCTAATCATATTTAGTGCTATTGTGAGTGAGAATATCATTGGGAAGATAGTTATACAAAAAATACTTTTCACATGAATAAATATGAAAATTGTTGTTTAAAATAATTATATTAATTTGCATAGCTTGTTGACTGCAGTGGTTGTCTGTCTTCCTTTTCAAATCAATTACTTAAAAGAGGTTTTCGTCAGGTGCAGTTTTTTTGAGGCGTTAGAAAGTGGAGAAATAAGATCAAAGTGTTTGACTCACGGCTTTAAAATCGTGGATTTCCACAGACTCGTGACTGCCGTTTCCCATGCTGAAGGTTTCAAAGTTGTCTGCAGCATTAATCTCCATTATACTTTCCTCGATAGCGCCATGGATGTTTATCCTGTACAGTGTGTTGTACACCTAAAATCACAAGGAATATTTCAGACTTATTATCCGAAAATAATAATTCTTGCATTTGATGTAGCACCTCATCACATCGTTGCGGCGTCCCAAAGCGCTTCACAGAACATAAAGTAAATTGACGATATGTTCAATACAAGTTTAATACAGTGCCATATACTATACTCTTGTGTAATGCCTTTCACGTCTGGAGGACATTACAAAGCGCTTCATACAACTGACTGGGCACCTAAACGTGGGGGTGGGGGAGGGAGCGTAGGAGAGTGGTGGGGGAGGGGGGAGAAAGAGAGAGAAGATGACCCAAAGTGCAGTTGAAGAGGTTAAACAAAGTTTAAGAACACTGGGTAGTGCACACATTTTAGATAAAAGCTTTTGGATTAAAACAGGCTATAACTCTGACCTGTGAAGGTAAGATTGTGCAAACTGGCTAATATAACACGCCAACAGTTATCACCATTTGGAAAGGGAATACGAGGCATTGTGAGCGTCTATTTTGGATAATTATTAGCCCCTAGCTAATTGAGTGCTTGCTACCATAGCTACATCATTATAATCGTAGATGATGATGCCATTGCTTTCAAATAGTTTTTTATATTTCATGGAGATATTATGATTGCATCAGAATCCAATTACTGGGACTTTGGAAGCAATGTTCTGACTTGTGAGATTACCAGTAAGACTGTGATTTCAAAGTGCATCTTCTCAGAATGGGAATGTTGCAGATTTTGACAAGCATCATCCTAATTCTTAGACTCCCCCCTTCTTCTGGGTCCATGGAAACTTGCCTCTCTGGGCTGACCGGTTTCATTCATTGCTGGTGCATTACTGATGCTGAGAAATCAGTAATGCCAAATAACATCAGCATAGATGCAATCTTGCAATAGTAAACCCAACCCCACTTAAATAATATTGCAATTTTAAATAAGAAACAAACCATTTTAAATAGCTGTCATCCTTTTCCCACTTGTTTCTTTTTTATTCTGTCTTTTTTCTATCTTTGCCTTTTATTTTCTTTCTTTCACATCATATCGTCCATTTCAGAAGGTGGAAAGCATCTTTACTTGGGAGTAAAGTACATCCATATGTCCATTATTGTTTCCCCACCCCACCACCCCTTCCTGCTTAATTATGGTTCCATGATCACTGCTTGCTCATTACTTTACTCAACAAACACTGTTGTAAAGAGAGCCTCAGGAGCGAGCATCAGCAGATTACTCAACTGCATGGCTATTGCAACTCAGTAGGATTTTGCCTTCACCATGTCCACACAAGGACACTTCCCACCATAACTGATGTGGGTGCGTGTTGGTGAATTTATCTCATAAACACTCGAGTCTGAAATGGGAGTCATGGATAAATACATTCATAAGTTGGTCTCGCAGAGAGATTGTAAACTGATCTGTGAACAACCATATTTCGGGTTGGAAGCTAATGCAGCACCCGATCAAAATTAATAACCAGTTGGAATTGTATATTGAGAAGTGCTAACTGGATTTATTCACATTGGCATTCTAAAATCCAGCAATTTGAAAGCTAATTTGTACACTTGCAAACCAGTGTGATTTTCTCTGTGTTGAATGAACATTGCCCTTTTTTAAAAGTAAAACCAATAGACAAGTATAAGAGAAGAAAGCAATGAAAATACTTTATTTTTAAGCATAAATATCTTCCAAAATTGCATCTTATGGGGTGAAAATTGCATCCTGCGATGTGTTAAATTATCTCCAGTGAATTTTTTGCAATTACTGTCATAGTAATTTTCACCCTATGATCTCTTGGTCAGCCAATTTGCTATTTGAGTTTCATTAACTCTTTTCATCTGAACCTTCTAAAAGTAGGTCATGTTGAAAACAGATTTTCTTCTGCTCGACTTATTTCTGAGGATTGGAGAGTATTTATGGAGAAGTTTCCTTCAGGAGATTGGGGCTGAGATCCATTTATACCAACCTATGGAAAGAGTTTGGTGAGATTGTTCTATGCCCTCTTTTGTTCTTCAATGTCAGAATACGGTGAAACAGAATCTCCTAAAATAATAAAAATAATCCTTGCATTTGAGATAGCGTCTTTCACCTCAAGAGATCATCTCCTAGCACTTTAAAGGATTTACTGTAAAGTGTAGTGACTGTATTTTTGTACAAATGCGACATCCAATTTGAGCATAGCAATGTCCCACAGTAATGTCGTGAAGTCAATGGCCAATTTTATTTGGGGGATTATTGGCCAGGACACCGGAAGACTCCCTTCTCTTTTCAAATAGAACCATGAGATATTTTAAAGTCTACCTGAACAGTAAGACGGTATCTCAGTTTAATGTCTTAACTCTGAGCACTGCTTAGGAGTGTCAGCTTGGACTGTGTGAGTTCAAGGCCTGACGTGGGCCTTGAACCAAAGTCTTCTGACTCAGTAGTGGGAGTGATATCAACTGAGCCAGGCTGACACCTACAGCTATAATGAACCTTTACAGTCATTAATTTCCATTTTCTATGCTCGACAAAATATTGCTGATGTACTACGATAAGTGGATTTACCTACTTCTCAAAACAATTTTCTTTTTAAGTATAAGCCAGTCTTTCACTGATTCATGGCCTTGGCTGTTTTTACGAGCTATTCTCTTAAGCCTGATGCAAATTGGAAGTGATGCAAAGGCTGTAGCAGGATTCTCAATGATTACTATGTCACAGTGCATCAACTGCAACATTATACAAACCGATGCCCTCTCCGGCTACTTAAACAGGTGATGCTTGCACAGGAGGGTGAGAGAGAGGGGCAATGTTGTTGAAAATCCAATCATTCCCATTGTAAGATTAATACCACTGACATTTTTGTTGCCCCTCAACGATTATTTTTATTTCCATTGAAAATGCTTTCTCCATCCCTATCCTTTTTGTTTTCCAAGAAAAGCTGGACAGGTATTTTTTTTAAAAATAAATACATTTTGCTTCCATTCAGTTCCACAACCTGGTGTCATTATAGCTGGTAATTAGCCATTCCAGGATTAATACTCTCCAACATTGAGAGGATTTAATGCACGATTCACTGAACTCTGGAACCTAGTACACCATATTTATGAGCTCCTTCCCATCAGAGAAGGTAAACTGTTAGTGTTGATTTTTAACCAATGAAAAACACTTCATACCTATATTTTTCTGTGCAGTGGACTCAGGTCCTAGGAACTAGACAGCGTTACTGTAGTAATTATAAATCCTTGCATTTGATACAGTGCCTTTCATGTCGGGAGAATGTCTCAATGTGTCTTGCACGATTTAGTATAAAGAGTAATGACTTGTGCCTTGCAGCTAAACTCATCAGCCTAAAAATGCTCCTAGATGCTACCTGTGTGAAGGACACTGTTGTTGTTTTCCAACAGCAATGGCCCACATACAGCCATGAAGTTAATAATAATAACCATCATCATAATAATAATCCTTGCATTTGATATAGCACCTTATTGCATTGTTGAGACGTCTCAAAGTGCTTCACAGTATATCGTAAAGTGTATTGCAAACAAAGAAAACAAACAAACAAACTGTGGCAGCTAATTGTGCACAGCACTGTCCCATAAACTGTTGTGGATTGAGAGGGATTGTTTCCCTGTCCAACTTTATTTGGAGGATTTCTGGCAATGGGACAATGGTAGAAATTCCCATCGCGTTTCGAGTGGTCCCCTGGGATCGTTAACATCTACCTGGATAGACAGACATAGGACACACACTGAGAGGTCCAAAATGGGATATTTGCAAATTAGATTCATATTTTGACTTGCTGGTTTGGGAATATCGTTTTGCAAGATTTGAGGAGAAGTTTGCAAGCTGTGAGTCGGTGCAAATAAAATAGCAGTGGACAAAGCCACTTATCCTTACTCCTCACCCAATGGCATGTTCAAGATCAGGAACAACAACAACTTGTATTTATATAGCACCCTTCAAGTGAGGCAGAGTCTCGAAGCACTGTGTAGGAAAGAACAGTCCTTTCGCTCGATGGTCCAATTTCGCAACTGGAACTTTATAATTTCAACGATTTTCCCTTATGCTATCTCATGCTGAGTTAACCGCCTTCAGAGTCCACACCATTTGCCATTAGTGGTACGTTTGCATTGCCCACAAAAGTGGCTCACAATAATATCCTAGAAGAAAAATGACTGCGGTATTAGTGGTGACACATTAAAGCCATTACTCTGCCATTGATGTCTGCGCAGCATAAAGCCAATTTCAGTTGGAGACCAATTGTAATTTGATATTTAATAATGATCGCATATTTCACTGTAAGAGTTATGATAATGAGCCTAATCTATTGCATTAAAGCACGTGAGAAAAAAAAGTAGGCTGTTCACTTGACAAAACTGTTTAAAAAACAAAACAAAAAAGAACCATCCTGTATATCATTGATTTGAAGCAAACTTTTCAATGTTTCAAGCCAAAAGGAAAATCTTTCCCTGGGATTGATCCAGACGTAGCAAAGCACTTATCTGAATGATGGAGCATCTGGTGATCTGCAGTGCAGTAGTTTACCTCCTGGATTCCAATAAGTCATTCCAATAACTCAGTGGTCATTGGAAAAAGAGATGCAGGTATCAGAAGTGTCATTTAGTTAGTGGAAAGAAGGGGATTCCTCGTTCAGATGATTAAATAAGAGCAATGGCTTATAATTTATTCAGTTTAGCACTCGTGTTGAAGCTTCAGAAATCATGCACCATATTTCATTTTCAACATTGTTTTTCAATCCAGTAAGTACTACTGGGATTTTTTTTTACACTCTCTAAAAGTCTCTTCCATGCAACAAATTACCACCTACAAGCCAATTCAAGAGGTCATTTGTTATTTAGTTGTGCATTAAAACACACTGTGGACGTGAGGATCAGTAAGCACAGGCTGCCAATTTCACATAATAAGGTAATTCATTTTCAGCACTTTCCTAAACTGAAGATCAATTAATATGCTGTTGTGCATTACTTATTTGCTGCTGTAGAGTGCCGATGGACCCAAAATAGCCCCAATTCAAGT